CGCAAGGAGACTGGAGGGTGGGGCTCAGCAGCTGGGGAACTTGATAGCTTCCAGGCGACTGGGGGACCCGTGACTCTGAGAGGACTCACGTGTGTGTGTGGTGTGTGACTGGGGGACCCGTGACTCTGAGAGGAAGGACTCACCTGTGTGTGTGTGTGTGTGTGTGTGTGTGTGTGTGTGTGTGAGAGAGAGAGAGAGAGAGAGAGAGAAAGACTGGGGGACCCGTGACTCTGAGAGAGAGGACTCACCTGTGTGTGTGTGTGTCTTGTGGGTGGGTGGTGTTATCTCAATCCTCTCTAGCCGACTACGGGGCGTTCAAGGCTTAGGGGATCTGCGACTCCTCAGCAAGGAGGGTGAGGGCCAGACCTGGAGCTTGGGGCGGGGGTGGGGGAGCCTGAGGGACCAGCAACTGGCTGGCAGGAGCTGGGGACAGAGCTGGCCCCAGCTGGTTTTGAGCAGCCCTCAGAGGTGACTGGTGAAGATGCCTAGCACAGCCCCTCCGATTAGGCATGAAAGTAGTCCTGGCATCTCTGCTTGCAGTCATTGGCTAATTACACCTCTTGAGATAGCCTGTATGTGTTTATTTTATTTCGCCAGACTTAGTTAACTGATTGGGGTGGGTGGCTTTTTGAGTGTTTCTGTTGTCGGGATATATGACCCATGTTCTGGTGGTGATACGGAACTAGGTTTCCATAAATGCCTTTTGTCTCAGAGGGTGGCTTCAACAATGGCAGTCTCTATTTTTAAGCTCGAATATTGGCACACGAGCGTAGCCTGCTTACACTTTTCTCATTTGGAAGGCAATACCCCAGTGAGCCCCATCTCTACCTGCAGAAATGACACAGGAGCACTGGAGCCACGGCTAGCCACTGTCGAGAGCTGTAATGGACCACGTTCCTAGATAGTACGTCCTAATTCTCCCCCCCTGCTGTGGATATTTTTCTGTCCCTCTGCAGACCCCTTTGCTGATGCAACTAAGGGTGACGACTTACTCCCGGCAGGGACTGAGGACTACATTCATATAAGAATCCAGCAGCGCAACGGCAGGAAGACGCTGACCACTGTGCAGGGCATTGCGGACGATTATGACAAGAAGAAACTTGTGAAAGCCTTCAAAAAGGTGATGAGTTCAGAAGGAGGGTGGATACCAGGACCTAGGCCCGGAAAGCCGTTTTGTTCTCCCACCTCAAACTGCGGTTTACTACCTGGCTTTCAGACTGAAATGTGAGCGGTTTAGTTGTTGCTGCTTCCCCCAGTATAATGTCGTCCATGTGGTCTCCAGATCCATTTGCAAAGTCACTTGGTTCTGGAGGACTAGGAGTTCTAGAGGACACTGCCCCTTAGTGCAGCGGGGACTGAAGCAGTTACATTCTGACAAAAGTAAAGCCTGCGCATTTGCCTTTGTTGTAGAAGTTTGCCTGCAATGGTACTGTGATCGAACATCCCGAGTACGGAGAGGTTATTCAGCTCCAAGGTGACCAAAGGAAGAACATTTGTCAGTTTCTCTTGGAGGTGAGTGGCTGGTGTGCTCTCTGGGTGACCTTGAGGTTGTTTCTCAGAACCAACATTCTAAAGAAACAGGAGTCCTTTTCTACCTAGTGAAATCCACATGGTTGAAGTAAAGGAAGTGATGGAGTAGATTAGGGCCAGTATTGACTGAAAATGGCAAGGCCTGTGCAGCTCACTTTGTTGGCTATTAAGTGTCCTAGAGATTGCCTTAGGAGCAGTGCCTCACGGCTCGTGTGCAGGTTGTGTGGGGCTGTCGGCGGTTGGTTGCGGGTAGTGCAGAACTGTCGTGACCTGCCGGCTGCTGTTGTGTGAATCTGCTGAGCATAGCTTTATTTCACAGGTTGGCATCGTCAAGGAGGAGCAGCTGAAGGTTCACGGATTCTAAGATGAACCCAAACGTGTGGCAAGTTTCTTAAATGGTTTTGTTCTCTCAACCCAGTTTGGCTGCCTCGGGAGATGATTCTCTACAGTAAACGACGGACTTTATGTTTATTTAATCATTCAGACTTCCACTCACACCTGCATGGCTACAGAAAACACAGGGTATGTAGGCTCCTGAGTCATAAGAAAATCGCGGTGAGATGGGAACGAAGCCCGAGTTCGTCCTAACATGTTTCCAATGGAAAAGGTTTTGTTTTGAGTGTTTATTGGTTAGTTTATTTTCACTTGGTTATTACATGTTGTTCTTGTTGTATTAAAACGTGTATGTTGCAGCTTAACAATAAAGAGAGTCTGTGAATCCTTGTGAGCATTCATGTTCCCAGCCTAGGCCAGTAAGGCACCTCCAGGTGGTCAGCAGATAGAGTTCTGTCACAGTTGCCCCAGTGAGTGTCACCCCTAAGAAGCTCCTGTCTCAAACACGCATTGAGTTTAGCCACCGGTGCTGTCTTGTCAGTATGGTTGGTGCTGCCGAGGACTGTCTGCAGGGTGGAAGGCATTGGGCTTCAGGTTAGCATGCCTAGCGTTCTAGACCGTGGCAGAGTTGAGTGCCAGCCAGGGTCTCCCACCTGGCACCTGCTTCCACTCTGCAGCAGGGGCATGCTCTTCACCTACAGAGGCTGGAACCTGGAGTGACTACTCGGGGGTGGTAGTGGGCAATGGTGGTGAGGTGTTTGCTCTTTAGTCCGAATCCCTGGCATCTTGTCAAGCAAGCAGTGGTTTGGTGGACGGAGATTATGCCAGGAAACCATTGAGCCAAAGCAGAGAAAAGCATTTGTCGTGTGCCCCACTCAATGTAGGTAGGGTAGCAATGTCTTGATGTCAGTGCCCTGCACCTGGCCAGCCCTGCACTCTGCCTCCTGTGTCTACACCAGAGTGTGTAAGGCCCATTCTGTTCCCTGAAATGAGTACACTTGGACAGGGTTGGAGGTTTGGGAGACTTTTTCCCAGCTTTTTTTTGTGTTCTTTCATTGTTTTTGAAACCTGCATGTCCTGGAATTCAGTATGTAGACCAGCTGGCCCCAACCTCGGATCCACCTGTCTCTGCCTTATCTTGTGGACTGGTTTCTGTAAGCCTGCCTCCTGAGTTCTGGGATTAAAGGCACGAGACACCATGCCCAGCTTTTTCCAGCCTTTTAAAAACTGTTGCACAGGTGGTGATGGGTGCACACCTTTAATCCCAGCACTCAGGAGGGCGGCCCAAGCAGGCGGATCTGAGTTTGAGGCCAGCCTGGTGTACAGAGAGTGCCAGGAGAGCCAGAGGTACACAGGGAAACCCTGTCTCAGGGCTTCTCTGTCTCACTGTCCGGCTCTCCCTGTGGTTGAGGACTAAAGCAGAAGCCTCTGCTTACACCAGAGTCCAATGTGAGTGCATTTGCTGAGTGAACGCCTAGAACAAGGCGGGAAGAAAATGATGCCTGACTGGTCTTGTCACCTGAGAGCAGCTGGGCTATTGCGTAAGGACTGGCTTTGTGCCCTTCTCACTTATCTTCTGTACGGTGTCTGCAGGCTTACAGAAACCAGTCACAGGATAAGTGATACACAATCTTAGGCCTCATTGCCTCAGCTCGAGAGACCAAGACAGATAACGTGCATCAGAAACCAAAGCAAGTGAGTGAGAGTTCCCCAGCCCAGTCTTCCTGTGGAAAGATACCAGCTGCATTCTCTGGTGGTTTATGCTTCAGGATACAAAACAGTGGTAAGGGGCAAATAAATTTGTCCCTGGACTTTTGACAGACCTTAGTAGCACTATTATGAAAGGAGAGCTTTGGTTGAGGCCCAGGCTAGAGAAGACCAGGTGCCCTTGCTTTTCAGCCTGATGCTCTGGAGGCCAAGGGAGCAGCCTGCCCTGCCTACTAAGGGATTCTAATGACAGGCTGTTCTCATGAGAGAGGGTGTGTGTCCATCACAGAAGAAACAGTTCCGTCCCAGCCATGATGGCAGTTCCCTGAAGAGTTTGAGATGCTGGGGGTGCAGCTTCTGTGTCACCAGCTGGCCTGCAGCTGAGGGAGTTGGTGCCTACAGCCCAGGAGACCTCAAGCCCCCAACACCTGTTCACCAAGTGAGGCGTCCACAGGGTGTCCTAGTAAGTGAAGGGCAGTCTCCAAGGGCAGAGAATTGAAAGCTTGGCAAGTGGTCTGACTGGTGGACCCTGCTTGTCCAGCACTGACAGTTCACTCCTTTATGGGGCAATGGGCGCATAGGGCGGGGTTCAGCATATTTCCTCCAAGGCGGCATGATGGAGGATTGGCACCCGGGTAGGGATGGGGGCCTGCCACACCACACTCTAAATCCCAGGCGCTAGGTGACATCCACGTGAGGGTCACAGTGAACTGTACTCAGCGAGAGTCTGTGGTTCACCTGTTTGACTGGCAGGCCAATTGCTGAGGCCCATAGCTTTGCTCTTGGCCACCAACAGCACCAGTCTGAGCTCCTGCCTTGTCTCAAACTTTCTTCATGCAAGAAGCAATCCCAGGTCTGCATGTAGTGGCATAGGCCTGTAATTCCAGCACTGAAGAGGTAGAAATATGGGAGCAAGAGTTAAAGGCCAGCCTGGGCTACTGGAAACCCTGTCTGAAACAGCAAGCAATTGCAGAGAGCTGTGTCATTGTGTTCAAAGTTCTTGGGGTGTCTACGTGCTCATAGACTTCATACAGGGTAACCTGTTTTAACCTAGAAAGAACTCGGAAGGGTCTCCAAGTGTCCTAGAAGGAAGCTGGCTTTTACTTGAGTTTGCCGTTACACATTCTCGCCTGAAAGCCACCCTTGATGCCCACTGGGCATCATCTAGGGAGTGGAGATAAGAGTCATAGTCCGTGCTGGCCATGACCGATGCTACGGGGACAATCTGGAGGTCAGACAAACGCCCTCCACCCCTGGTCACCAGCATCCAGACTGAATGAATTGGTGCGTTGGCTTGTTAGAAGCTGGGGAAGTTTACTCAGATGAGGAAGAACAGTGAGCACTGTTGGAGTCACTAGCAACCCACTTGGTAGACCAAGTGTTAGATGGAAAGGTTGGGTGCCAGGGGAAGATGCAGTTAAACTGTAAGAGGCAGATCGGCGATAGGGGGGCCATCAGCACCCTCTTGTGGGCACATAGAAAGCCGTGGTTTCTGGCAGATGCACAAAAGCAGAAATTGTGTTGTCAGCTGAGGTACGTGGGTTATACATGCTGATCTCAGCCAGTCCTTCCTTACGGTCCATAAAAAGCAACTTTAACTTGCTGTCACTTTCAAGAAACCATACAATGTTTACATAGCCTTACCCTGGGAATGTACATAGCCAATGGCACATTTGTTTACATCCTGTAGTGACTGAGTAAGCTGGGAAAAAAACAAAACAAAAACAAAAAAAAACAGCCAGGCTTTTGAATTGTCAGTAGTGAGTAGATACAGCCTGGACAACTCTACACCTAACATTGTGCTTCTCAACTCAGGCCTGAGGTTTTACACCTAAACATCGGTCCCCATTTAAACCTGTAAGGCCAACACAGGTTAATGTGTCTTGGCTGTCTGAGCACACCCACTTAAGGTGCTATATGAAGGATTTGTCTGCAAAAGTCACAGAATTCCCTTAAACCCCAAAGGCATAATACATGTTGCCTCCCATTTAACACAAATCAGGGACCAGAAAGATGGCTCTGTGGATGAAGGCCCATGCTGCTGAGCCTGACAACCTGGGTTCCCTGGAACCCACATGGTAGAATAGCATCAATTCCTCCAAACTGTCCTCTGACCTTCTAAACATTCCCCCAATAAGTAAATGATTATATACACACGTATATACATATATGTAAAGGAGGGGTGTGTGTGTGTGGTGTCTGTGTATGTGTGTATAGTGTCTCTGTATATCGGTGTGTGTGGTCTATGTGTGGGGTGTCTGTGTGTGTGGTGTGTCTCACAATGCTTTGCTTTTCCTCTAATGGGAAGGGAAAGGGACAAAGTAGACAAACAAGTTACTTGAAAATATTTTTACCTATTTTTGTTGAAAAAGATCTCAAGAATTCAGTTATTTGGTGGCATTGGATAGCTACTTTCCCCATAACTATTAACAGTAAATAACAGAGGTTCCAAGACTGTGTGCTTAGCTCAGCCATGAAAGACAGCAGAATAGAGGACTATTCACAAAGATTCACGAATGGGACAGAAATCAGTTTCGCACCACAGTCACATGTCATCAAGTTTCTGATGTGATTACTTTGTAGTGAGGAAAGCGTTCTCTTTCAGGCTGCTGGCCATGCAGCAAGCCAAGGCAGGAGGCCATTTGACAAATGTCCTCATGACACCAACACTGCCTATGTCAGAAAGGCAATGTCAAAAGACATTTTCCTTGCCAGATAGTGGTGGCGCACACAGCACTCAGGAGGAAGAGGCAGGTGGATCTCTGTGAGTTCAAAGTCAGCCTGGTCTACAGAGCAAGTTCTAAGACAGCCAGGGCTGCACAAGAGAAACCCTGTCTGGAAAAAAATAAAAAACAAAAAAGATGCTGTCCTCTCCCATATAATTGGTTCTCCAGCCAGGAGAGGCTTCAGGCCCTGATCAATCCTGGAAAATTCCTGGTACCATAGATTCCGCTTATGTAGGGTAGCAGGTCACCTCCCCCACCTGGGTTTCCTCATCCATAAATAATGATGGCACTCTCAGGCACTCGGTGAGACCAGGAGACAAGAGTTAGACAAGGTAGCCAAGGAAACTGCAGCCGAATCTTGGCAGATGTGGCTCACGATCAAAATGCCTCCTTCCCCTCTCCCACCCCCGCCCCAGAGTAGAGGATTTGATGCCCTCTTCTGGCCTCTGAAGGCATCAGGCATGCACATGGTACACATACATACATGCAGACAAAATACACACACACACACACACACACACACAAAATAAGTCTTAAAAAAAAAAAAAGACTGCTATACTGATGCAAATGGCTGCTAACATAGGTCCCCTGCCTCTCAGTCTTCCCTGGAGAAGATGCTCTGATGAAATAATTAGCTGGACTGAGTGCTAACTTCTTCCATGGGGATGGGAACTCGGGGAAACCTCTCACCTGGTGAGGAATATTGCTGGAGGCGGGGTGATGTCCCACACCATCGTGAGCCTCTTGTACTCTGGATGGATTCTGTGGCCTGGTGATTGGCCACCTTCTGCACTTAGCTGCAGTTAGCTTCTATGATTTTCGAAGAAGGACGTGTGGGCTGGAGAACCACATGGAAGTCAGAGGGAGGCCTTGGCCCCTGGGATGAGATCAGCACAAATGTAACCGACCAGTAGCCAGCCAGCAGCTTCGGCTCCAGGGATCCTTGCTCTTT